AAAAAGTATTTGAACTTTTGACGGTTGTTCAACATCTATACACGGTTACTAAACTTCTTTGTTTGATGAAGCGATGCTGATGCTACATTGTCGCCATAATGAGGCCACAATGAAGCGAAGCGATAATCGCCTAACTTTTTAATGTCGCGACATTGAAGCGATGCTGAAGCCATAACAATGCCATAATGATGCGATGCTGAAGCGAAGGTGAAGCTGAAGTGAAGCCAAAGCTTCCGCGAGAACTGTACTGTATGGTAATACAGTGGAAGCAAACACAATACACAGTTGTAAAATTCAATAAGATACAAAAATAAAATAAAAAAATAAATCTAGAATTTGGAAGAAAATTTTTTGCCTAGATGGTATAAGTAATCGTATAGATAATACTGTAAAATCTGTATTAGAAACCGCGGCTTCTATTAAAATGGTACAATGCAACAGAGGGGATGCAGCTTCTATTAGAACATCTACACATATGAGAAATGATGAATTTTTGGTTCTCAATTATTCAAAAAGAATGGGTGCGACTTCTATTAGGGATGCGGCTTCTAATACAGATTTTACGGTACTACTGTAGAATACTTTATTTTCGCTTGGAATTAATTTTCACTATTTTCGCTGAAAGAATGTTTCAGTGAAAATAAAATCCAGCGAATATACCTTTTTTCTTATGTTTTACATTCAACTCGTCAGAAATCAGCGAAAATTAATTCCAGCTAAAATAAATTATTTTACAGTATCATGATTAGAGAAAATTTTGCTAAATATATCCTCTATAAAATACTGGTATATTGGGTTTATTGGTATGTACATAGTAAGAATTAAATTGACCTGCAGTATCTTCATTTGTTACAATGAAATAGTGAATAATACGTCAGTGTAATGTTTGCTATAAGTTTATTGTAATTTTGTGGTATCTGCATCCTACCATATTCATTTATTCATTTTGTGCCGTTCTGCATAGGGTTGACTACCATGGATCTCCATCTATCACAGTTCCAAGTGCACGATATCGTTTCTGTTGGCTTTTCCTACTGTATCATGACGTCATACTGTCAAGCATCTTCTCTCTCTGTCTACCCATGCTTTGTTTCCCATCAATTTTCCCTGTCGTTACTAAATATTCCATTTATTTTCTTCTCACCACAAGTCCAAAGAACGTTGCTTGCCTCTTCTTATTTCATTGACGAGAAACCTTGTTATTCTGAGCATTCTGCGAAAAAACTACATCTCAGCTGCTTTTGATCGATTTTCTGTCTCCTTATTGATAGTCCATGCTTGGCAACCATAAATTAATAACCCTACCACATTAGAAATGCAAATATCAAATTATGAAAAACAATTTTAATGATTTTTGAAAATAAAAGAGTTTTGATAATTATAACTATTTATGGATATCCTACACCAAACGGCCGGATCTAGATGATGTCAAACATGGGAATTATGAGGAGGATACCGCGAAGGAGGCACTCAGACGATACATGGTACACACGTTGGTCGGTTGCATTCGGTCATTGCTCCCTCTGAACTGTCTTATCGTCATAACCTTGTAATATTTTAGGAATATATCAACAAGAGTAATGTCACTAGAATTGGTTCAGCTGTGAAAGATTGAGAAATTAATTCATCTGACCTCTGACCAATTGGTAACCCATGATTTATGTCCTTGTAGGTTTTAAGGAGTGTTTTATAATCTTAGTTACCATGACAACACATCAATTGGCTGATATCATGTAACAAATTAAGATAGGTGATATCACAGGAGGGAATACTTAAACCTTGTTGGTATGGCAACAGCTATAATGGTTTCCATATGTGAATGTAATTACTTTATGATTCAAAGACCAAAGTTCTTCTCTAATTTTCTTATACATGTTAATTCAGTACAGTCTGGGTTACTGATTGTCATCAAAAATGGATCTGGGATATATTGTGAGGGGTGTT